TTTCATTCGTCGCGTGTTAATGCCGCCGGGTGGTATTGTAGTGAAATGGGTTGGTGATTTGGTGTTTTTTTCACGTTTCCAGTAAATGTAAGTATCATTTTTGGATTCAGGATGTCAAATAATGTAAGAATGTGAAAACTTTATCTTTTAACAGGCACTCGGACCTAATGTATACTTTTACCGAGCTGTCAGGCCTATAGCTTTGCAAATAGAGAAAAACGATAAAGACGTAAAAGCTGTAAAATTGACAGGGCTACAAAACTACTATCTCGGGTTTTTTTAAATTTTTGGATTTTGACCCCCAAAAATCAAAAAATAGTTTTTTTGAATATAAAAGCCAAAAAATCCAAAAAGTTTTTTGAAATTCGCAAAAACACAATATATGTGATAGTCCTTACCTCCTTCTATCCACATACCAAATTTGAGATTGATATCTCTTTTTTGGCGAAGTTATAGCGAAAAAACGGTTCAAAATTGATGACGTCAAATTTTCAAACTCAATTTTTAGCAATTCTAGACCCCGTAGCGCAAAACAAAGACCATCATTAGACTCCCCGTGACGAGCTGCATCGAATCAATACCCCTTTTAAGCAAAACTATCAACTTTAAAATTTGACCTTCTTTGACCTGACCTTGACCTGACCTTCACCAGAAAGTGACCTAAGCCTACCTGATAGTCTTATAACCAACACCATTGAGTTGGAAATGAAAAATTGGCCATAAAACATGCAACGCACAACCTTAGTACCTAAAGTTAGGTTCATGTGACCTGACCCAGTAAACATGCCGACGTCGGCCCGACGTCGGCCGACGTCGGGGTGACGTCGGCAACTCGGCATCGGCATGCCGACGTCGGCCCGACGTCGGTCCAACCTCGGCACGACGTTGGCTGGATGTCGGATATGCCCGCATGTACCGACGTACAGCCGAGGTCCAGCCGACGTCGGGCCGACGTCGGACCGAGATCAATTGCTGAGGTCCAGCCGACGTCGGGCCGACGTCGCCCCGACGTCGGACCGACATCGGCCGCTGTTCTGACCGTTAAAATAATATAAAATACATGTTTCATGTTTCATAAAGAGCTTCTGTATTCAAAATATCCTCAGGAAACTCAAATCTTCCTCCACGCCGCAACCCCCTGATCCGGACTGGACGGGAAACTTTATCCCATTTGGGATTACCCGTAAGCCGAGCTCGCCCGTAGCCGGGTGTGGTGAGTGCTTGGGGGCTGCTCGGCCTATCCTTTGGTCAGGCTCAGCCCCGGCAACTCACCAGGGCCGGGCCCAGTTCATATAGAAAGGCCAGTCGGCAAGTGTCACTTTGCCAAAGTGCCACTTATCAAAGGGACACTTTGGGAAACGTTGGTGCAGGTGTGTAAGAGTGGCTATATGAATCCATTGTGGGGTCGCCCTTTCCAATAAGTGTCACGTAACAGCAATGGGGCCAGGGAGTAGGGACTCTATATGAACTGGACCCAGGGTGCTCGCCAAGAAGACCAATGTCTCCATCCTATCATCCTTCCGGCTCTGAAATGGTCTTGTCAGACCGAAAGGGCATAACACAACAAAACAAACTACATTTGCTATCTGGCTGCGTGGTGTAGTGGTTAGCGGACTAACCTCGCGTTCAAATGACACAGGGTTCGAATCCCATCGCCGGGTGATGCTTTTGGCGCGTTGTCCCAATAAACATGCCGACGTCGGCGACTGGGGGGGGGGGGCTCGAATCCCGCCGCCGGTTGATATTTTTGGCGCGTTGTTCCAATAAACATGCCGACGTCGACCCCGTCGGTCCAACGATGAACGATCTCGTCAACCTCGGCAAACGACCTCGGCCCGACGTCGGCTCGACGTCGGCTGGACTTCGGCTGGACGTCGGAACATGCGGGCATATCCGACGTCCAGCCGATGTCGGGCCGAGGTTGAACCGACGCTGGGCCGACGTCGGGCCGAGCCTCGGCCCGACGTAGGGCCGACGTCGGCATGTTTACTGGGGACCTGTGACCCATGGTGACCTGACCTGTGACCCTTGGTGACCTGACCTGTGACCTGACCTGGTAATGTCAGTGAACTCTTATAGCAACATATGTACTAGGCAACTGACGCCCTATCGCTGATTCTCGGCAAAATGCGTTTTCTTCGGTGTTATAGCGCATTCCCTAGATGACCCGTGAACGGTGAAACATTTCATCTTTGACCTGACCTGTGACGTCATCGGTGACACTAAGGTCAATGACATTTGGTTTCCCTTCGACAAATTTGACAGCCCTTTCGAACGCCGTTTGAATTTCGCGGATCCGTCCAGTAGTTTCGGAGATATGATGGGGGGGGGGGAATAGTCCCCCACCAAGTCGTGTTATAAACAGACCCCCCAGGGCGCGGGTTAACCCCGCCCTGGCAGTACATTTTTCATAACACGGCCTGGCAGGATGGTTGATGCGACCCCCCTCGCGATTGGCTCCTATGGCACCTAGAAACACCAAATTTGGTAGGTAGGCTGGCCCCCAGGATTTCTCGCCCCTGTGCAAATTTCGTTGCTCTAGGTCAATTTTTAGGGGGTATAAATGTAAAAATTTCTCTAAAAACAGGCAGGTCAAAAGTTTTTTCGCTTATAACTTTTGATCTAATTAGGATAGAGAAAAAAGAAAAGCACCAGTGACCTCAGCACGTCAAGGCGCGTCGAATGATATAAGTATTTTTATTATAAGTTTTATTTATATATATAAGTTTTAAAATATATTTTATAAGTTTTCATTTTTCCTAATTGACTTATAATGATGAGGTCACGAAAATGACCTGACCTCATATGACCTTTAGGAAAAATCCGAGATACCTATACAAGTTGTGGGACTCATAATGGATACTAGATCCTGCAAGTTTCATTTCCCTGTGACATCTCCTCTGGCAGTGAGGGCGTTGTGAAGTTGCGACATCTGAAGACCGTGCAGAGGTCCACTTATGACGTCATAGGTCCGTGACCTGACCTGACCCAAAAACGCGGTTGGTGTCAAAAGATCCGGCTTGGATCAAAGGTCAGGTATGCCAAGTTTCAGCTCTCTATCGCCAGCGTGTTCGGAGCTATCGCGAAAAAAACTATGGGGGGGCACCCGCCCCCCCCCCCTCGGCTGGCGAGGGTTAATTAACCCGCGCACCGACGGGGGTCTGCGCCAACTTCGCACCGACGGGGGGGGGGGGGGCGGATGACCGCCCCCCCCCTGAGATCTCGAGAACGAAGCAAGATAGTGACAAGCGATAAACGGCATCGGATACGCACGGACATGGTCTACAATTTTTACGAAGGTCATTTTCAGGTCAGGTCAAAGATGACGTCACAGGGGTCGAAAAAGTCAAAATGGCGGCGCTAGATATGGAGAGAGTTTTTCTCGAATAACTTTCGAATTAGTCAAGATAGGAACAAACTAAGGGCAGCATCGTGATCCTCTCGTCAATCCGCATCGGGTGATATATATGTTGACCTCGAAAGGTCAAGGTCAAAGGTTGACCTCAGGTCACGTGACCTCGAGGTCATCATGTATATCATTCGATGTGTCTTGATGAGCTGAACACAATAAGACCATCCGCGCGGCTGTATCTTGTTCCTGTACGGAGTTATTGGCAAAAAACCTTTGGTGACCTTTGATGACGTAACATGACCTTACAGCTGCCCAACAGCAAAACAGACCTCAAGGTAGTGAAGGTTGATCGTATATGAAGTCATGTATGGTATATGGGGCCATTCCGACCCGTTTTAGTGCTAAAAACAGGGAGTTGATTTTTCCCCCATTGACTTATAATGGGGAGGTCGCGAAATTGACCTGACCTTAGGTCACTGATATCAAAATTCCGAGATATACAAATTGTAGCTACTAATGAGGTAATAACATCCTGCGACTTTCATAGGCCTCCGACATCTACTGTAGCTCTGGCACGGTGACAAAGTTGCAAAAAAAGGACTTGAGGTTGGGTCATTCAAAGTGACCTGGTGACCTGACCTTGAAAGTTAGGAGGTTCAAACTTGCACACCATGTGTAAAATTGATACGAAAATAGTCGTACTAAATTTCGCGGCGCTACGCGCCGCGGTTTTTCCGCTATTCGCGAAAACCTCAGGGGGGGGGCGGATATCCGCCCCCCCGTCGGTGCGTGGGTTAACATTACGACGTAATGACCTCTAACTGACCTCAGGTCAGTGACCTCAAAAACCCGAACCATATGTTATACAACTCGGTGAACTTAGCACATCCTGAAAGTTTGAAGGAAATCAGTCCAAAACTGTGAGAAGAACAGGTGCAAAAAGAAAATTGAAATTTGACCATGACCCTGTACCGGTTTTTCTGACCTGGTGACCTGACCCAAGGTCACCTGGACCTGAAATTTTCAGATAATATGTAAAAAGGTTGCCCCATAGGCTGTGCCAAATTTGGCGCCGCTGCGCGCTGCCGTTTTTACGCTATCTTTGAAAAACCTTAGGGGGGGGGGGTCGCATTGACCCCCCCCCCCTGCCAGGGCGAGGTTTAAGTTTTAAATCATAACCTTACTTTTGGGACACCCTGTACTTTCTTGGCCTCACACGCCACAACTTTGATTAGTTTCACCCCTGCAACGTCATCTTTGCACTGACTTGAAAAACCCCGGTGTAAAAATTGCAGACATCAACCGAATGTATCCCATCGTTTTCGAGATCCTAGGGGGAGGGGGGGGGTCTATCGCCCTTCTGTGCAAAGTTGTCCCATAGTCATTTTTTGTCAAACCACTTTGAGATATGCAAGACTCTGAGTTGTCCATAACGATGACCTCAACATGAGCTAACGACGGGCGGGCGTTTTTCACAATTCAAAGTCCAAACCTTCGGGCCACAGCGCTCCTCGAAAAGCGCTGCCCTCGAGTAACGATGACCTCCTTGTTTTGTGTGCCTATTTGTCCATCCCAGAAATGACAATAATTGCTCACTCAGCTGCACGTTTCGGTCACTCTGACATGTTTTTGTTGTTTCTGTTCGCAGCTCGACTCCATGGTGTTTCTGAGACTGATGTCGACATTTCAATCGGTTCCTATTCTGATGTCGGCCCTGTCATCTCACGGCATATTCCTGCACCGACGGCAGCAGATGGGTATCTCTGGATCAAGTCTGAATCTATTCATACGTTATAATTGTATTTAGCACAATGAATGTACTTTCCATCTGCTTAACCCTAGTATTCCTGGCGGGCTCCGCCGGGACAAGAAACTGGCGGGGGGGGGGGCCGATTCGGCCCCCCCCCCTGAGATCTCGAGAACGAAGCAAGATAGCGACAAGCGGTAAACGGCATCGGATACGCACGGCCAAGATCTACAATTTTTACAAAGGTCATTTTCAGGTCAGGTCAAAGATGACGTCACAGGGGTCGAAAAAGTCAAAATGGCGGCGCTAGATATGGAGAGAGTTTTTCTTGAATAACTTTCGAATTAGTCAAGATAGGAACAAACTAAGGGCATCGTCGTGATCCTCTCGTCAATCCGCATCGAATGATATATATGTTGACCTCGAAAGGTCAAGGTCAAAGGTTGACCTCAGGTCACGTGACCTCGAGGTCATCATGTATATCATTCGATGCGTCTTGACGAGCTGAACACAATGAGACCATCCACGCGTCTTTATCTTGTTCCTGTACGGAGTTATTGGCCAAAAACCTTTGGTGACCTTTGATGACGTCACATGACCTCAAAGCTGCCCAACAGCAAAACAGACCTCAAGGTAACTGGTAAATTCCTTTTTAATGACCTCCTTACAAATTATTTATGTTTTTGATGTATTTAGCTTGATACAAATTTTCGGCCACGGGCCTTGATCACATATCAGTTTAAACACAGACACGAAAAACACACAGACACCAATGCAGTTACAGTTTTGCCAGTTTTTTCAGTTTCTGTACAACTTCGCGTGATAAAAAAGCACAATATACCTACAGTTCTAAGGAATATGTTAGATGGGCCCAATAAAAACGATCATAGACAACCTAATAGGTCAAAAATTAACTTTAAATTCGTTTTCGTATTCGATTCATTCATCTACTTTTCAACGTTCACTCATGTACATTGAAATGCACATAAAACCCGATAACTACATAATGTACCACGATGATACATTTCGATTCAGTTGCGGCTTTCGCTTTCGGATTTGTAGCGACTCACTTATCTTTCGGTGTGGATGGTCGCCGGTTTTTTGAATGATTTCCACCGTTAGAGGAATTACACCCCTTTGAAGTTCTAATTCTCTGTGAGCCGATCCAAAGTGATCACCAATGGGTGTGTCTCGGGTCTTGTTCTTGGCGTTTAAGACATGCTCATTAAAACGTAGCCTAATAGGCCGTTTTGTCTCGCCCACATATGTTACTTCTTCTCCACCTTTCTGGCAGACGCTACATGTGATTCTATACACTACACCTGCGGTTAGGCACTTCCCTTTCAATCCCGACTCACAAGTATTGCAAACTCGCGACCCTGCTGGGCACTTGGGATGGGAGAGGGCAGAACGTGTGAGGCGGCTTTTCAATGTGTTCTTGCTTTGCCAGGCTACTCGCAAGTTTAAATCAGTTTTTCTCACGATGGCATTGACTTTGGCACAGACGGTCTCGTCGATATATGGTAGAGTCAGGTACCCGTCTAGCTGCTGTACTTGCTGCTTTTTGTGGTGCCGGTGCTCTCCATTTGTCGTCGGATGTGTCTCTGCTCGGGTAGCCTCTCGTTGCAGCCTCCGCACCAACTGTTTTCTGTAGCCGTTTTCTTCGAATAGCTGCTGTATCTTCTGGCAGGAGCGAGCACGTGCCGCTGCATCTGACGACAGTCTGATGGCGCGTCGAAACTCGGCTCGTATCACTGCCTGCTTGGTCTTCATGGGATGTGATGATGTTTGATGGATGATGATCCCGGAGTGATTTGGCTTTATATATAGCTCTGTTTGGTACTTGGAATTTGAGTTCACAGTGATGAGAGTGTCCAGAAACGGTACGTTTCCAGACTTACTGCTATCTTCCAGAGTGAACTTGATTCTCGGGTGGATGGAGTTGAGGTACTCGAGGAACTTGTTCAGCTCGTCCCGTCCGTGAGTCCAGACTCCAATGGAGTCATCAATATACCTCGAGTAGAACTCTGGTTTCAGCACTGCATTGTCCAGTGCACGCGTTTCGAATTTGTGCATGAATATGATGGCTACTGGGGGTGCCACCTTGTTGCCCGCGTGCACTGGACAATGCAGTGCTGAAACCAGAGTTCTACTCGAGGTATATTGATGACTCCATTGGAGTCTGGACTCACGGACGGGACGAGCTGAACAAGTTCCTCGAGTACCTCAACTCCATCCACCCGAGAATCAAGTTCACTCTGGAAGATAGCAGTAAGTCTGGAAACGTACCGTTTCTGGACACTCTCATCACTGTGAACTCAAATTCCAAGTACCAAACAGAGCTATATATAAAGCCAAATCACTCCGGGATCATCATCCATCAAACATCATCACATCCCATGAAGACCAAGCAGGCAGTGATACGAGCCGAGTTTCGACGCGCCATCAGACTGTCGTCAGATGCAGCGGCACGTGCTCGCTCCTGCCAGAAGATACAGCAGCTATTCGAAGAAAACGGCTACAGAAAACAGTTGGTGCGGAGGCTGCAACGAGAGGCTACCCGAGCAGAGACACATCCGACGACAAATGGAGAGCACCGGCACCACAAAAAGCAGCAAGTACAGCAGCTAGACGGGTACCTGACTCTACCATATATCGACGAGACCGTCTGTGCCAAAGTCAATGCCATCGTGAGAAAAACTGATTTAAACTTGCGAGTAGCCTGGCAAAGCAAGAACACATTGAAAAGCCGCCTCACACGTTCTGCCCTCTCCCATCCCAAGTGCCCAGCAGGGTCGCGAGTTTGCAATACTTGTGAGTCGGGATTGAAAGGGAAGTGCCTAACCGCAGGTGTAGTGTATAGAATCACATGTAGCGTCTGCCAGAAAGGTGGAGAAGAAGTAACATATGTGGGCGAGACAAAACGGCCTATTAGGCTACGTTTTAATGAGCATGTCTTAAACGCCAAGAACAAGACCCGAGACACACCCATTGGTGATCACTTTGGATCGGCTCACAGAGAATTAGAACTTCAAAGGGGTGTAATTCCTCTAACGGTGGAAATCATTCAAAAAACCGGCGACCATCCACACCGAAAGATAAGTGAGTCGCTACAAATCCGAAAGCGAAAGCCGCAACTGAATCGAAATGTATCATCGTGGTACATTATGTAGTTATCGGGTTTTATGTGCATTTCAATGTACATGAGTGAACGTTGAAAAGTAGATGAATGAATCGAATACGAAAACGAATTTAAAGTTAATTTTTGACCTATTAGGTTGTCTATGATCGTTTTTATTGGGCCCATCTAACATATTCCTTAGAACTGTAGGTATATTGTGCTTTTTTATCACGCGAAGTTGTACAGAAACTGAAAAAACTGGCAAAACTGTAACTGCATTGGTGTCTGTGTGTTTTTCGTGTCTGTGTTTAAACTGATATGTGATCAAGGCCCGTAACCGAAAATTTGTATCAAGCTAAATACATCAAAAACATAAATAATTTGTAAGGAGGTCATTAAAAAGGAATTTACCAATCACCTACATGCCTTACATACAAAGAGCACTACAAGAATTAAAAGACCTCAAGGTAGTGAAGGTTGATCGTATATGAGGTCATGTATGGTATATGGGGCCATTCCGACCCGTTTTAGTGGTAAAAACAGGGAGTTGATTTTTCCCCCATTGACTTATAATGGGGAGGTCGCGAAATTGACCTGACCTTAGGTCACCGATATCAAAATTCCGAGATAAACAAATTGCACATACTGGTACCCTAACTAAACCCTGAAGAGAAGAAATTGATCGGTCAAAAACTCTAGCTCTGGCGTGATTGCAAACTTTTCTGAGGTAGGGTCACCAAACCGCCTCTGGTGACCTGACCTGAGGTCAGATCAACTCAAAATTTTCAGACATGTTGCGTAGAAGCCTTTTAGGAAAAGTCAGAAAATTTGAGCTTCCTAGCTCAACGCGTTGGGAGAAATAACCAAAAAACCTCAGGGGGGGGGGGGCTCCTGAGGCCCCCCCCGCCAGGAATAGGGTTAACCCTATTAGTGGCAGGCTCCTGGCTACCCCTATTAGTGGCAGGGGGGGGCTGTTTACGACCCCCCCTTGATATCTCGAGATCTAACGGGCCGATTTTCAAAATTCAAACGGCATTCGATTTCGCTCAACGTGATCTACATTTCTAAAAAAATAAGAATTAAAAAATGTCAATAGGGGGGATAGAGGGGGGTAAAAACGGGCAAATTGCAGATACATTTTAGACTGTTTATCACGGCCAGGTTTCTGAACCAATCTTAACGCAACTTTTGCCGATCGATAGAGAATGAACCAGGAATTCACATGGATCCTAAAAATATGCATTTTCAAAAATCATAGGCGGATACAGATCATTGAGATTGGGGGTACACAAAAAGTATAGTAAATAAGGTTTTTGTTGGTAGGGGAGAGTGGGGTGGGTTGTATCAGTTTTTACTCCGAGACCCATTACCTCGTAACTATCCGTTATAAATTCATTATTTCCATACTATCTCCTTCCTTGATTCTTCTGCTTTTTTGTGCAAAGTAACTTTTACGCTACCTCTACTAGTTTTTCTTCTACGGTCTGCCGAATAGAACAATGTTTTTGATACAACTTGCCCCATGGCTTGGGTGAGTTGTATCACATGGTGGGGTAATTTGTATCACTATTTCACGTTTCAGGGAGTGTGTTTGCTACTGGTTTTGAACATAACAACAACATTAAATGGGGTTAATACAATGTATATGCTCAAAGGCTTCACTTTTATTAGACCAAACTTATGTCAATCCGAACGAAACATCGAAACGAACGAAACATCAACAGACTAGACGCAAAAGTGACCCGTTAAGAGCAAAGCAGCCAACACATTGTTCCGAAATGGAACGAGTATTGACTAGCTACCTACAAACGCGAGCCAGGGCTTAGCTTTCGCGATCAAAAGCAACATACCCATACATACATACATACATGCATAG